ATGCAATCTCCCCTGGCCCCAAAACAATGTTAGAGCCATGCCAGGTTCTGTCCAAACCCCCAGGCTGAGATCAGGGCCCTGCTGTGCCTGACACTGTGCAGATCCTGGCCATGACACCATCCTGGCCCACAAAACTCTTGGTCTGTGCAGAAGCTCTGAGGGCCAAGAGGGACCCATGGCCAGCAGAAGGGAAGCTCAACTGCTGGGGCACATCCCTGGCAGTCAGCACAGCCTCACCCTGCCCTCTTGTCCCTGCAGTTCATGATCTTGACCTCCTCCTTATGATCCTGCCTATCTTGACTGTGGCCACAGTTCTGGCTGGTGGTAGTGCCACCTACACTATCTGCCACTGCAAGCAAGCAAAAGATTGACAAGTACAAGCAGCAGTTATTATGGACACGGGCATCTGGAGACCAAGTGCCCCTGACCCAGTGCCAGTGCCCCCAGGGCCACATGCCTGACACCCGCATGAATGTGGTGTGTTACCCAACATAATTTAAGATTTTAGTTAGTGGCACTGCATTCATAAGTGTTTGAACAAGAATAGTCTGTTCTCTGAAGAGAGCATTTACTGAGCACAGCAATTTGCAACTTCAGGCACACTACAAAGAACAACAGAAAAAACTTTTCCTAAGCTAAGACACAGCCCAGTAAGACACAGCAACAGCACACACAACTTAGCCCAACTCAAAATGCCATATAATAGGACAACCCCCCCCCCCACCAAAAAACCAAAACAAACAAACAAAAACCCACAACAGAAAGCCTTACATAGGTCTTATGTAATCCTGAGGGCAATGTCTCTTGCAGGCAGAGGTTCAGGAAGTCCTTCTAGGGGTATCCACAGATCTTCTGAGGTGAGGAAGAAGAGATCCCATAGGCATCATTTCTGCCTGGTCTTTTATAGATGAATTTGCATCTCTTTCCCCACCTTGGGTACTTTGACTATCATGCATTCAGTGTTTCTGTCTCTTCTCAGGTATTCCAGTCTCTCGCCCCTTACAAGTTCCACTCTGAAATGTAAATGTAGTTCCTTGCTTTCTTTGGTCATGCCAGCCCAAGCAGTGTGGGACCCTCCCCTGCTACTTTGGGTCTGTCACATAGCTCCAGCCCACATTTGTGATGATTGTGCCAGGTCTTTGCCAACAGACCCATGCCTAGGCAGAACAAGGCAACCTGGATGCTGCTGCCCCCACAAGGCAGGGAGCCCAGGCAGCAAAAGCACCAGGGCATTGCAGCTGCCGGGAAAGTGGGAGCTGGTAACTTGGGCTGGATTCAGACCCCTGGCATCAGTGAACATCTCCCCTTCACATCTCTTCCCATAGCCAATAAAGGAACCCAGGTGCCTGGGCTCCCAGCCCCCCCAGCCCCCTTTCCCTGCAGGACCCCATTCCTCTCCCAGAGCAGGGAGAGAACCCAGGTGCCCTATCCTTAGCCCTCCCCACCACTGCTGTACCACTCCACACACATGGATTCTCTTCAGCTCTGGAAGGGGAGTACAGGTGTATCTGGGCTCCCAACACCCCCAGCTCACATCCTCCCCTCCCCTCCCCTCCCCTCCCCGAGCTGGAGAGAACCCAGATATCCTGGACACAGCTCCCCCTGCCCCGCTCCCCCCATGCTCTCACCCCCCAGCTCCTCTTCAAGAACAGGGAAGTAACCCAAGTGTCCTAGCCCCAGGCCCCCCTGCTCTCACCTCCCAGAGCAGGGGGAGAACTCAAGAATCCTACCACCAAGGTTGCTGGCTCTCAGGGGAGATGGATGTGGGGAAGGCAAGACACTGCCCTGCAGCATCCCAGAAGGTGGGGCAGGTGGGACCGCCTCTGGGGTCCGTGATAAGCCAATGGCTCTAGGGGGCAGTTATGCAAGGGAAGTGCCCACCTACCTCTGCCTTGGACTACCAAAATGCAGCTGCTTCTGGGGTGGAGCCAGCAGCACAGTGGAACAGGATCACAGGAATCCTTGGAGCTGTCCCGGGTGCAGTTCCCAGAGGGAGCTACGAAGAGGTGTTGCCACTCCTCCCAGCTGCCCAGCTCTGCCTTTATCCCACTTGCTACTTCAGTTGCCCCTCCCGACCTGGCCCTCCTTGGGTTTGGGAATACGCCCTGGGCCCTGCACTTGGGCTTCATTCCATTAGTTAAAATTCATTCATTTGGGGGTTTTCCACCCACCTTAAAACGAGCTGTAGCAGGGGCTCAGGCGGGAGCCCTGTTACTGTATGGGTTTCGGGCGAAGATGACCTGAGATTGCACCCCGCCAGGTGAAGGGAGTTTCACATCAGGGGAGGGGCGGGATTATTAGCCCGCCACGGCCGGCATAAATCCGGCCACGGGACAAACACCTTTTGCCTTCGGGCCCTGGAGAACGGAGGGGAGACCATTGGGACTCTGGAAGAAGAGAAACCTTGCCTGTGACCCCGAGGAAAGCCGGGATCTTGGGACTCCGGACGACAAGTCGACCACAAGTCTAACTCTTCCGCGGGAACCCCAGCCAGCCTGGCGAGTGCGGGGAGAGACTGCAGGGCTCCGAGATACAGCTCTGCTGGGAACCCCAAGAGCTCGAGAGAGGCTTCGGGACGGGGCTCGAGCGGCAGGAGCAACCAACTTGTGGAGGCAGCCAAGACGCCAGACAGGCGACTCAAACAAGCGAGGCAGCAGCAGAGGCAGCTCCCAGCACGAGCCGCGGGAGACGCGGAGAGTACATTCCGCTCCTAAGACTTCTTAACCCCCAGAGACTCTGGTCATTACAAAGCATCCCTCGGGCATCCGGAGCCTAGAGTCCTTATCTGAGGCTTGGAATGCCCTCCCTAATGAGGTAATTAGCGAGGACATTGTTACAATACACTACAGACTCCTGCTGTGCAAATAAAGGCTACTCTCTGCGAGTTTGCTATCCAGGTGGCTGAAGTGATTCCTTGCTCGGATACCATCACTGAATCTCTCTTCTTTTTATCTAAGTCGTAGCAGGCGAGTTCAACGGGAGACTGAGCTGGGAGTGACCCCCTTGCCCAGGGTGTCCCCCCCCCCCCCCCCCCCCCCAAACTGCTTCAAAAAAATACAAATTCTTCTCAAGGTGACGTTTTCAGCCTGCCTTGGCCTGGTGCTCCATGGTGTCCTCTTAACTTCCTTCCATGTGAGAGAAAAAATCGACTTTCCTGCTCCGTGTCCTGTTGTAAAACAAAAGGGTTGTAAGGCCAGGGTCCATCTCAACAGTCTGGCGTGATCCAGCTTGGCTGTTCGCAGCCAGCGCAGAGGGGTATGATCTGTAATTAACACGAATTCCTGCCCCAGAGGTAACGACGAAAGAGCTCGGCCCCCCACCAGATGACTAAGCACTCCCGCTCAATCCCTCCGTAGCTGGTTTCCACCCGTGTAAGTTTCTTGCTGGCAGATGCTATGGGCCCCTCTTCTTCCTGGAAGAGAATTACCCCTAAGGTGATGCCTGAGGTGTCTGTCTGCAGAAAGAAAGTTTCCTGGAAATTTGGGGTGTATAATATGGGCCGTTGGCAAAGGGCCTCCTTCACTTGCTTGAAAGCGTGGAGGGCTTCTGGGTTCTGTTGGCCCTTGGTCAGTTCTGTTAGAGGTGCTACCTTTTCTGAGAAATCCCGGATGAACCGGCGGTAGTAATTGGCAAAGCCAAGGAATGACCACAGTTGTTGAATGGCAGAGCGTGTTGTCGGATGGTTGCTACTCTGTTAGCAACTAGCTTTATGTGGCCTTGTCCCACTATGAAACTGAGGTACTGCATTTCATTTTTTCCTAGTGCACACTTCTAGGGATTGGCTATTTAACTCTGCCTGTATGAGTTCTTCCATGACTTTATGTAAATGTTGGCAGTGGGCCTCCCAATCCTGTGAAAAGACAATGTCATCAATGTATGCAGGGTCATACTCTTGGTGAGGTGCTAGCACTTGCTCCATCTGTCTCTGGAAAGGGGCAGCTGCCCTGTGTAAACCAAAGGGCATTTTCCTGAATGCTGACAAGCCCTGAACTGGCAGCACCACAGGCTATGAAGAAATGGCCTTTCTGTGCCTGTACTCCCAGCCTGCCCCACTTGTGTGTCTGCTTGGCCCCAACCTCCCTGGAACTGCTCAGAGATGTCTTCTGGGTCCCGCAAGCTGTCTTGGCCCCTCTGCATGTTCCCAGCAGTGCACTCACCACCAAGGCCTGCAAGCTGCCTGTCTGGCACCTCTTGCACCCAGAGCAGCATAGAAATACCTACAGAGCAGGAGCAAGGGTGGCTGGGAGCAATCAGGGTTGTGCCAGCAGCAGATAGCATCTGACCTCCAATGGCTGGACAAGTGGGGAGAAGAGAGATGGCTCTTGCCCTGGTGCTGCAGCTGAGTGGAGAGGGAAACCCCTGCTCCCAGCCCATGTGCCCCTTGGCTGCTGCAGCCCTAGGTCCCGCTGTTTATTAAGGCCCTCTGTGACCAAGGAGGAAGCCAACAGAAACAGGGATGCACCCTAGGTCATAGCAGGACATCAGTGGCAGAGCTAGGAGTAGAGCACCAATCTCCCAAATCCACTCCAGCCTCAACCTGGCTGGAGGCTGTGGGATGGGGAGGGATGGCACCCTAGGGGCTGGGGTCTAGGCCATGTGTAAATGGAGCATAGGCCAGGGCCTGAGCCCACTATGACTGCCATTCTCTCTTCCCAAACAGTCCTGTGGTCTCAGCCCTGGATGTCCAGCCATCCCTCAGGGCTCTGACTTCAGCATCCACTGCAGTGCCAAGGGATCTCCAGTGCCTGCCTACAGCTGGGTGCTGCCCATGGCCCCTAACCTCAACTACTCAGCTGACAACAGCACTGTGATGTTGTCAGGCACCAGGGTGCACAACTCTGGGACCTATGTCTGCACAGCTGCCAACCCCTGCAGCTCACATGTGTAGTACATCACTATCTAGGTGGCAAGTAAGGATGCAGGGATGGGGCTGGAGCTGGGGCTGGGGGCATGTAGGAAACTGGAGATCCTTCCCTTTTCCCTCAGGAAAAATGTCTTTGTTGTCAGAGGAGGGAGGCAGTAAAAGAGACCCCCAGGGAGGTTGTGGCCTCTCCATCACTGGAGGGGTTTGAGAAGAGGGTGGAGAGCCCCTGGTGGGGGATGATCTAGGCTCAGTGATGCCTGTGCTCTGTTGTGGGGATTTCCCAGGCATCTGGGTTTTGCTGGTTTGCACACCCCTCCCCACCATGCCCCCTTTCTGGTATGTGTATCAAGGGGTTTTAAGCCTTCTCCTGAGGTGCTGGGTGTTGGCTGCAGCCCAGGCTGGGAATGGGGACTGGGCTATGCTAGTGCTCCTGCTGGGACTCAGCTCTGGAAGTTCCTGGCTGGAGGGTCTTGTGAGCCTTTCTTTGCTATGGTCCCACCCGGTAACCTTTGTCATGTCCCCTGGTCTCCCCTTCCCAGGTCTATCGGGGCTGGAAGTATGACCTGACAGTGGTGCTGACTGTGGCTGGGACAGGCTTCTTCATCTACCTCAAGACCACAGCCTGCAAGAAGGGCGAGTACAACATCTGTGATATGGAGAACTCCGAAGCCACCCACTTGGACCACGAGCCACCCACCGACAGAGGTCTGGGTGAGCTGGATGCCATAGGCCTCCAAGTGGGCCATGGGCTGACCCAAGGCCCCTACCCTGCCTCAGCTGGCAGCCCCCAGCCCTCCAAGCCCCTTGGATCCCCACTGGGCCCCTGTGCTATAGCTTTCAAATCCCCACAGGGGCTGGGCCCCTGCTCCCCTGCTGTGGGGAAAGGACTAGCTGAGGCTGTCAGAGCACATGGTACCCTGCACAGGCCTGAGGGAACAGAATCAAGCCAGTTGGGGATTGGGTCCATTAAGCAGAGCCCGTTTTTCACTGCAGACACCACAACTGACAGTATCAAGCTGTCACTGAAGCCTTCCTAGACATGGCTTCAGGGAGCAGGCCCCTGTCCACCTGGTGCAGCCCACACCCGAGTCTCAGCTGGGGATCTCTGCACTATCAGAACTCCCAGTGAGAATGTGAGAGTCCTGCTGCTGCCTGCCTGCGGGATGCTTGGAACAGGGCACAAAGGCAACTGTGCAGAGCTGGGACTTGACTGGAAGGATTGACGCTGGTCCCCCAGCACTGGCTCCATCCATGGGAGATGGATTTGGCTGCGTTGCATAAGTGCCACGGACACTGCATGGACCAGACCTACAGGCTTAAGTTCAGTATTAAAGCAAGCAGCGAGAGGTGGCAGGGGCTATCCTGGTGTCTGTGCGGCATCAGGGGCAGGCCCTGTCATGCATGTCACTTTGCACATGCATGTGAATTCCCTTGAACAGGTCTGAGTCCTTGGGCCCCGTGCAGAGATGTGCTGGCCATGGCTGCAGCATGCGGGGAGAGGTCAGCCCTCCCCATATGAATGGAGCTGCACCTCATAGCATGCCTGGTAACATCCCCCCACCCCCTCAAGCTAAGCCAGCCCTGTGGGGTAGCTGCATCTACACCATGGTCTCTGTCTTCCCTTTGTGTCCCTTGGCTTAACAAGAGCCTTGCTGGAGTCCCTGGGGGAAGGAATGGTGCTCAGCTCAGCCTGGGGCTGCCCCTCTTTGTCACAGGGGCAGGAGGGCAGAGCTGACTTGTGGGCAGAGCATGGGGGTAGGACTTGAGGGCTCTGGCAGCACAGGGGGCCTGGAGCCATTTGGGGCTTGGGGCAGGGAGTCACTGTCTAAAGCGAGCAGCTGTGAGAAGGGGCCTTGAGTAAGCCCAGTAATAAGGTAAAATGGGGGG